GGAGGAGCTCTGCTCAGCCACAAGCCAGGCTGATGGCTGCCAGTACAGCGGTGGTGGTGGGAGCCTCTCCTGCCTCCTCAGCAGTGCTAAGGATGTCCGACTGCAGCTTAGGTCTGCTCCCCGCTGGCAAGTGGACATCCCCCGAGGGCTGGCAGGCTGCCAGAGGGATGTCTGATTGCCAGCTTAGGCCCAATCCCCTGGGGAGCAGGCCTAAGCCAGCAGGTGGTCATCCCCCGAGGGGTCCCAGACTGCGAGAGGGCACAGGCCGGGCTGAGGGACCCCCCCTGCCCCGAGTGCACAAATTTTTGTGCACCGGGGGGCCTCTAGTTTACATAATAAAGTCAAAAGAAACAACAGTTGATAAAAGGAATGAATGGTAACCGTACTCTTTATCAAATCTGTCTAAGAGCACAAATACCAGACTACATATCAGGAGATGTTTTTCACAATGAACAAAATAAATGAAGCAATTTCATTTTATTATTATAAAGTAACTGGAAATAGTCATAATATACACATTTCTCTAGCAATACAACAATTAGAACGAGTGGAGGTCAGATGTAAAAAGCACTTCAAAAAGCAAATAATCCAATGATAAAAAACATTTGGAACTTACATATATAACATCCCTACAAGTTCATCCCTTGCTTTAAAAACTGTTTCAAATTTTCATTACTTGCTGAGGCAGCCCATTACATTTTTGGAAAACTGACTATTAGAAAATGCTTTTTTTTAGAATGAGCTAGTTTCAATGTAGGTGGTAGGAAGATTAGATCATTAGGATGAGGTGCTTAAAGAAAGACACTGTTTATTAGGAAAGATGGATAAAAAATGGTCATTTCATAATGATAAAGAGGTCAGTTCATCAAGAGGATGAAACAAGCTTAAATGTCTCTACACCAAGTAACAAAGGTTCAAAATATATAAAGCAAAAATTTATGGTTAGAAATTAAAAACTATTTCCTTTTTTTCAGAGAGTCACTGTATTTTGTTATAAGACAGTAAAATATATTTCACAGCTTTTAGTGAAAACAGTATTTCCCAGTTTAAAACAAGAACTAGAATCAAAACACTGAAAATGTCCACAATCTAATATCTAGCTGCTTTTACCCTGAGCTATTGGCTAGGTCTCCCACTATGCTCCATCCTTCCCTCACATAACTAACAGAATAAGTTGACAGAAAATTAGTAAAGATATAAAAGATCTGAACAGCACTATTGTTACCATAGTTAGCTAAATGTTAATAAGAATAAAGCAAAAGGAACTGGACATTGCTAAACCTAATGGGCTGAGACACTGAGCCTGTTTGCTTCACCAGGAAGCTATAGCTTAACAACCCTCGCTTCCCCCGTGTAGGGAGCAGCCCACCCTCCCACCAACAATATGCACAAAGGATTATAATACAACATGACCAAGGGAGGTGTACCCTAGGAATGAAAGGTTGGTTTAATATTTTAAAAATCAATCAATGTAATTCATCATGTCAATAGACAACAACAACAAAATTCAATCCCAGACAGCATTTCAATTAATGGAAAAAAGAAATAAATAAATTCCAGCAATTATCATGATATAATTTCTCAGCAATAGAGGAGTAAAAGGGAGTTTTCAGGTTGGAAAACAAAACCTGTGGAGAAAAAACACACAATAGCTTACATAATACCTAATAATAAAACAAGAATGCTTTCTTTGTAAGATGAGGAACAAGACAAGAATGTCCACTCTCACCAGATCAATGCACAAATTATGCTGAAATTTCTACCTATTCTATTAAAACAAGAAAAAAAATAAAAGGTATAAATATTAGAAAGAAAGAAGTAAAACTATGTTAATTTGTAGATGACATGATTGTCTATATAGAAAATCCTTAGAAAAAAACATACTAGAAATAATAAGGTTGCAAGATACAAGATAAATATACAAAATCAACTGAACTTGCATATGCTAGCAACAAGCAATAGAAAACTGAAGTTTAAAAAGAAATCTTATTTAAAATAGAAAAAATATAAAACCCTATGAAAAAATCTGACAAAATATATGTGAGATTTGTACCCTGAAAACAAAATATTTCTGAGGGAAATGAAAGAAGAGCTAAAAAAATTCAGAGATATATACCATATCTATGACTTGGCTTCAAATTTGTCAAATCTGCCCATTCAACTCAGTATCAATCAAGCAGATAATTTTCCCAAGCAGATAATTTTTCTTAGAAATTGACAGGCTGATTCTAAAATTTATATGTAAATGCAAAGGATCTCAAGTAGACAAAAGAAATGGAAAAGGAAGAATAAAGTTGGAGGACTTACTTTAACTGATTTTGGGGCTTATTATAAAGCTACATTTATCAAGACAAAGTACTATTGGTATAAAGAAGACATTTAGATCAATGCAACAGAATACAGAGTCCAGAGGTAGAGACACAGATACAGAGTCAACTGGTTTTTGAAAAAGGTATAAAAAAATTCAGTGGAAAAGGATAATCTTTTTAAACAAATGATGTTGGAACAACTGTAAAGAAAATTAACCTGGACTTTTCCCTCACACCATAAGCAAAAATTAACTGAAAATGGATCACAGATCTAAAGGTAAAAGATAAAATTATAGAACTTCTTGAAGAGAACGCGGGCCTTGAATTCGGCAGATTTTTTAAATATGACACAAGAAGTACCAACTATAAAAGAAAAATATAATACACTGACACAAGATGCTTTGTCTTTCCTGAATACCAAGAAGCTTTTCATACATTCTCCAGAAGTCTGGCATGTATTTCAGTGAGGTAGATTTAATCCTCTTCCCTTGCCACTCCACACAAAGAATTATTTCACCATGCTTGGTGAAATAATTTCTCTAACAGTGTAATGTTAAAATATCTTAGTTAAAACTGTGAAAGTACAGCTAAAATAAAGAAGCATAATCAAATATGCCCATATATCCATGTGAGAAGAAAGGAGAGTAGAGAATATATATTCTTAGATCAAAAACAAAATAATGTTGGAGAGGAGTTACTAAAAATAACCCAGAGTCCAAAGGTGTGAACAATACTTTCTAAAAGACCCAAGAGGGTGACATACTTCTTTAAACACTAATATAATCTCGGAATGCAGTCATAGAAACTTAATGATCACTGCACTTTGCGCTGATCAGATCTTATCTATAGGAGATGTCCATGTCTGTGTCCACCACATTTCAGGACAACCCAGAAACCCTGGGCCTTACCTACTTGCAGAGGGGATCTAGAGAGCATACCCTGACGTGTTATGGAAAGTCAAATACAGAATTGTAGTCTCCAAAGAGGTATAAGAGGTGTAAAAAGAAAATATTAGAACCGTTATTTATATTTACTTTCTTCTTAAGAATAAAATTATTAAGTTTAAGATGTCTTCCTATATGGGTTGACAAGAGTGCATTTCTATATTTGACATGTATGTGATATATATCCTGTATATATTGGGGCTCTGTTCAAAATTCATTTCACTGATAGGGGTCCATAATCCAAAAGTAAATAAATAAAAGGAGACCACTGGTCTGGAGAATAGAAGACAGAAAAAAAAAACAAAGATGACTAAGATTTCATGTTACTTGTCTTCAAATATTAGAAGGCTTTTATTATGGAAAAATAGATTTATTCTGTGTTTCTTCAGAGGGAGAACTAGAATAAGTGGCTAAAGGTTGTGGGAATTACCACCTATTATAAAGAAAAACCTTATAGTAATTAAATTTGTCAAACCAGGGAATAGGCTGCCTTGGGAAATAGTGAGCTTCTTAGGCTTCAATTAGCCAAGACATAACAAGGATATCTCTATACCATTAAAATTGCAGAAGAGATATCTGATTGTGTAATAGACGGAGCCAGAAAACCTCTAAAGCTGCTGCTTACACACAAATAATTGATGAGAATATGAAGTACTTAACATGAATATTGTTGTACAATGAAGAATTAACTGGTCCTCATGCCTGATTCTTGAAAGAAAAATTCAATCTTTGGAATGTCCCCAATGACAAGAGTATCTGTGTTATGCTAATGAAGTGATTCTAGGTGGGCCCCTAAATCATTTCAGAATAGGGGCTGATCATACCAAAAAGACCAACCAGTGATTAGAGGGCTGGGCCTTTAAGCCATGTAATATCAGCCAGACCTCCTGACCTCCAGAGAGAGGAGGAGGACAGAGGATTGAGTTCAATAAGATGACGAAATATCATACCTACAAATGAAACCCCAATAAAAACCCTGGACATTGAATTTAGTTCCATAGAGATCCCTGGTTGGTGAATAGACTGAAGTGCTGGGAGAGTAATGTGCTCTGATTCCATGAAAGCTCTGTATTCAAGACCTTCCCAGACCTAGCCCTAGGTGTCCCTTCATTTGGCTGTTCCTGAGTTGTATCCTTGATAACAAAACTGTAATCGTAAGTTCTGTGAGTTGTTCTAGCAATTTATCAAACCTGAGGGGTCATAGGAACACCCAAATTTGTAGTCAGTTGGTCAGAAGTACGGTGGCCTGGGGACCCCCTGAATTTGTGGCTGGAATGTGAAGTTGGGGCAGATGTGTTGGGGACTAAGCCCTTAACTTATGGGGTTTAGGTGAACTCTGGGTAGTCAGTGCTAGAAATGAACTGCAGTCCACTAGTTGGTGTTAGACCAGTGAAGGGTTAAAACTGAACAAACATATTTACTCTAAATATTTTACTCTAAAAATTAGTGTTGAATATAGGAATTCATTTCCTCAAACTGCTAAAATACACATTTGTGTATGTACAGTTGTTCATTTCAGAAGGTAAGCAAGCTCTTATCAGAGAAAGAATACTAAGTAGATATTTCGTGTATATGATAATGATTTAAGATTTCCACATTGCCTAGAAAATGTTTTTGTCATTTTCTACAAAATGAAACAATTTCACAAAAATAAAGCGCAAAGAGGAAACAGACCTTTAATACTTCCCAATAAAGTAATTCTGCTAAAAATATTACAAAGAATATCATATCCTTTATTGATATAGTTGATAACAATGTAGTATATTAATATCTGTTCTATAAATTCATGTCAACTGGGAGCTAAACTGAAGATTTAATATTTAACATTTGTTAATGGTTAAAAAAAATTAGGAACACATAAGAAGACTGTATCCACCAAAAAGAGCCAAAACATATTATCACCTCAAATCATTAATTAAAATTCATTGAAAAGTCCTAGAAAATTAATTATTTCTAGACTAATTTACATGTGTTTTTTTCATGTAAAACAGCACAATTAACTTCATGCCATCATTCTAAATTTAATCAGCGCACGGTGCTTACCTGGTTTAACAGCTCGCCCGCAGAGTTGGGGTTGGAGAAGAACCTGTAACATGGCAGGATTGTTTAAACTCTTCATAATTTGAACAGGATTTGGCTCTGGAAGTAAGCCCTTCTGATTACTGTGCATCTTCAATGAATACAGAAATAGGAAACATTAGAACAAGGATAAGTATAAAAGATGACATTTTAAAGGCATTCTTCCAGAAATTCTCATTCACCTGATAAGATTTATTTTGTGATAAACACAATTTACTTTGTATTATACCTTTGTTGTATAGATTCAACCACAGTTTCGTAATTATGTTATACTCTACTACACAGCTCATACTAAAATCCTCACAGAATGTCTCAGTTAAATACAAATTAGCTTTAAGAAGACTAACAATTTAGTAAGATAAATCTCTTTACAAGTAGAAAGATGCCAAGGAGATCTGAATTTATAACAGGAAGATAACTTGTTAACAAAATATGAATGTTTTGATATCACAGAAGAGCTTCACTATAATGATCAAAAGTGTAATAATGTGGGTTGCTTTACATAACATTTTCTTATAATAAAGGTCTTGATTTCCTTAGTTAATCCTCTAATAAGAGAAAAAAAGATGGACTGGCCTTACATATATGTAATTGGGTGGCTTCCTAATAACATGAAATTGTTCCTGGTTTTAAAAGCCAGCCTGATAGATAAGGATATTGGTATTTTGTTACAAAAGGAAAACTGTTAGCCATCAGAAAATGGAGAACTGACACTGATACCTGGAATCCCTCTTCAAACACTTAAAAGCATAACAGATTTTTATTGGTAACATGAAGCAAGGACAAGTAGTTACAAAGAATAACCAATAAGAAATACTGGGTATGAAAAACATGACTGTAAAAAAAAGCAGCTTACTATATACTTGTCATTATTCTAAGCATTTTACATGGATTATAACACTCAATCCTGCAAAACAACTCTATAGGGTTGGTATTACAAACCCTATTATATAGATGAGGATAACAAAGAAACTCATAAAGCATTATCCTTAACCTCTGTCCTGTGCTGTAATAAACAGGTTAACAGGTTAAATAGAATACATGTGACTGAAAAACAAAATAGTGACCTGAAAGATCAGTTCAAAGAATGCTTCCAAAGACATCAGCAAAGGATAAAAAAGGGGGAAAATGCAAACAAGTAAGACAAACCATGGGGATGGAAAATGCAAGCAAAACAAAAGCAAAAAACAAGGCAATGAAGAGGCTGGAAGTGCCCACCTACATAAAATAGAAATCCCTGAAGGAGAAAATAAAGAAGGAAATCTTTGAAGATATAATGGCTGAAAATTCCCCATTATTAAAAAAAATTAAAGGTCACAGATGAAACGGGGTGCATAGTGTTTCAAATCCTACATAATAAAAGGATAGTATGCAAATTGTCCCCTCAACCAGGAGTTCATCTGGGAGTTCGACCAGGGGGTGGGGCCAGCCAGGGTAAGGGAGCAAGGCCCCGGCCTGCAGCCAACAGCCACTAGGGACCCTCTAGTATGATATATAAGAAGAAAACACATTTAGTCACATTTTTTATGTGAAATTTAAGAACATTAAAGTCAAAATAAAAATGCTAAAAGTTTTCTGTAAGAAAGAACATATTTCCAAGAAACATGAAGTAGATTAATATCTTCTCTCTCAAAGCAATAGCCCTGGATTCAAGAAGGCAACAAATTAATATTTTCAAAGTGCTTCAAGAAAAGAAATTTAAATCTATATGTTTATATCCAGCTGAGTTATTTCTTAAATATGTGAAAAAATAAGAATATTCGCAGCCATACAAATTTTCAAAAGTTTTATTCTCTGAAAATGAAAACCAAGAAGCAATAAACAGAAGGCAATACTGCATAATGCATGGAAATTAAGGTATGCAATATCATCATTAATTTCAATCTTGCATACAAAAGCCAAGACCATAAAAACAAAACAAAACAAATGAAAGGAACAATGACTGACAGAATAAGGAGAAAGAAAAATCAACAACTATCTATCTATCCTATATAATAAAAGTCTAATATGCTAAGTGTCCAGTCGTCCAGTTGGCCATTGAACCAATCAAAGCGTAATATGCTAATGATATGCTAAAGCCACTCAACTGCTTGCTATGACATGCACTGACCACCAGGGAGCAGATGCTCCGACCAGTAGGTTAGCTTGCTGCTGGGGTCCGGCCGATTGGGACTGAGTGAGATGGGCCAGATATGCCCTGGAGCCCTCCCGCGGTCCCTCCCCAGCTGGCCAACCTCCCACGTCCCTCCCAGGCCCCAATCATGCATCAGTGGGGTCACGGCTGGCGAGCGCAGTGGCAGTGGCGGGAGCCTCTCCCACCTCCGCAGCAGCACTAAGGATGTCTGACTGTTGGCTTAGGCCTACTTCCTGTGGGGAGCGGGCCTAAGCCGGCAGTCGGATATCCCCTGAGGGCTCTTGGACTGTGAGAGGATGCAGGCCGGGCTGAGGGATCACCCCCTCAGTGCATGAATTTCGTGCAGTGGGTCTCTAGTATATATATCAAAGGCTAATATGCAAAGTGTCCCCTCAGGAGTTTGACCCGGAAACTGCGAGTTCGATCGCTCGCTATAACGTGCGCTGACTACTAGCGGGTGGCACAGAACGAAGGAAGGCCCCAGCCGGCAGCCAGAAGGAAAGCCCCAATTGGCCCTGATTGCCAGCCAGACATAAAAAATGTGACTAAATGTGTTTTCTTCTTATATATCATACTAGAGGGTCCCTAGTGGCTGTTAGCTGCAGGCCAGGGCCTTGCTCCCTTACCCTGGCTGGCCCCACCCTGGCTGACCCTACCCATGCATGAATTTTGTGCACCAGGCCTCTAGTATATCATAACTTCTAATACATTCCTCTCAGACACTGACAGATCAAACAGACAAAAAAAATAATTAAATATATGGAAGATCTGAGTAACAATAAGCTCAAACTAATACTTACAAGCACACATGTGTGTAAATATAACTTTATAACCCACAAACATAAAGGACACATTGTTATGGGGTATACATGGCACAGTCACAAAAATCAACCAATGCACCAAGCCACAAAAGAAACCACGATATCCCTTTCCCCCAAATCAATATTAGAGACTACATTCTCTGACCACAATGCAACAAAGTTAGAAATTTATATCAGAAGATTAGCTTCTAAAAATTCCTAAGTGGCTATAAACTGAAAACAACAACAACAAACAAACAACTAATTAAGCTTTTAGTTTAAAAGGAACTCATAAAAATTTGAGACATTAATAATCTAAAATATTTGATACATACTTATTTAAAAGGAAACTTGCTTTAAATTCATTCAGCAGAAAACATCTAGATTGAAAACAATGGCAATAAGCATTGATATCAATAAAAATGGAGGGGAAAGAGTCAACCCAAAAAAACCCCAAAAACATTATAAAAATAAGGGCAGCAATATTCAAAAGACAGAAATAATGAACAAAACAAGAGCTGTTTCTTTGAAGGGATGAAATAGAGAAATTTCTTTCAATACTTATCATGAATAAAAAAGAAAATGCAAGTCAATAAAATGCACAACGAAAACAAAGAGATAGACATAACAAATTTTAAAAATAATAAATTATTAGAAAAAACTGTTGCAATAAATTTGAAAACTTAGACAAAATGAATGTTTGTAGAATGGAATCAAATGCCAAATATGGCAAAGAAAGGAAAAAATAAAATATCTAAATATTCACAGAAGTAACTTAAGTGGTAATCAATAATTTCCCTCTGGAAGAGGCTCAAAGACTAGTTCTACATGTTCTCATAGAGGAGACTTCTTAAACTTTCAAACAATAGATAACCATATTTTATACAAGTTTATCCATAAATAGAAAGAAAACAGGGAGGAGAAAAAAATATTTAAATCAGTAAATGAGAGCAATGTTCTATTGATTCCAAAATTAAGTAAGGATGGCACAAAAAATTTTAAGCATTTTTCACTTATGAGCACATCTGCATATATACCAAATTAAATATTATCTAGTCAATGCATTGGAAAAAAATAATTATCAACTAAGGTTTATAGTACAAGGATGGTTTAACATTAGAAAATCTATCAATGTGATTCTGCACATTAATAAATCTAGGGAGAAATCACATGTTATCTCAATAGTTGTGGAACTACTATGATAAAATTTAACACCTACTCATGATATTTTTTAAATCTCAGAAAACTTATTAAAGGATATGCATGAAGAAGCTATAGAAAATATCAATGTAATACATTACTTTTGAGAGAAAAATTTAAGATTTCTCACTATCATTGATATAATTTGCTTTAAAATTTTATTTAAATTTTTTATTGATTGATTTTTAGTGAGAGAATGGGAGGGAGCGAGGGGGTGGGAAAGTGAAAGAGAGAAACATCGATTTGTTGTTCCACTTATTTATGCATTAACTGGTTTATTCTTGTATGCGCCCTGACCAGGGATGGAACCTGCCACATTGGTGTATTGGGACAACGCTCTAACCAACTGAGTACCCAGCCAGGGCTCAGGAATTTGAAATTATGCGTCATTAAGGAATGTTAAGCAAGAGAAGGACACAATCCGATTTGAGGGTAAAAAAGACCACTCTTGTAGAAGAAGGATCAAAGGGACAGACGAATTACATGGTGCTCATGCAGGGGTTATTCTAATCATCAAGGTGAGAAAAGATGAGATCCTGAGTAAAGTAACAAAGACACTAACAAGTCTCAAGGAATAGGAGATATCAGGAAGTGCAACTGAAAGAATTTGCTAATATTTTTAACATTTTTATTTGGGGAGTAGATGAGGGAGACCAATCATGATTAACTAAATTTTTGTTCAGATAGTTTTAGTTTGGATGAACTAATGCCATATGTAGATATTACAAAGCATAGAAAATCAAGTCCCAGAGAAAAAGAGGTGCTTGGAAGTAGAAATGTTGAAACTGCACTATTTATGTAACATAAAAGTGGGATGTCTAATAATCATCTGAAAATATAGATTTAGTTCTAAGAGTAATTTGGTCCAAGATATATATGCTTAGAAGTAATCATTGCCTGGCAATAACTAAAGCCATTGGAATATTTAAAAGGAAAAACTGTGAGAAGGTCAAATACAGACGTCTACTGACACTGGCCCTGAGAGAAACAGACAGAGTAAGGGGAGGAGCCGCGAGGAAAACACTGGTGTAGCACAATTCAAGGCGGCAGAGGGCTTTAAGTATTGCAAAGAGACCAAGCAATGATGGCTAAAAAGTACCTGTGTGGCCTAAATATTAAAAAATCCCTGTTAATCTCCCTGAGAACAGATTCACTTGAATAGTGGAGGTGAAACGGCAGTGCACTGGGCTGAGAGGGAAATGGGAAATGAAGAAATGGTGACATTGAGTGGGGCCTGCCTGCTCCAGAAGCTCCGATTGGGAAGGAAAATAAGATGAAGGCCAGTATCTGGATAAAAAATGTTAAAGGAAAAGATGCGAGCAGATGGGATGGAGCTAGTGGAGCCACAAGTGAAAATAAGTAGAATGATGAGGATCAAGACCCTTGAGGACGGGGGACATGGCACAAGCCCCTGCTTTGGCAGGAGGAAGCACAGCCCTTCCTCCAGGACAGCAGGGATTGTCTGCTCTGTTCACTAAACACATCTCATAGTGCCTAGCATGTAGTAAGTGCCCAATAAGCAACTGTGGAATGAACATTATTGAAGAGAAAAAGAAGTAAAAAAAAAAAGTGGGGCACATTTGCAGGGGGAGTATGAGAAAAGTTGAAAGAATGAGTCCAACACATGACCCTGATATTTCTAAAATAAAAGCCATGATCACCTGATAGAAAGAAGGTTTGAGACAACAACTACTGTAGGAAACGGAAATGCACCACTGATGAGAGATGAGCTAAAGTTTTGCGGTGGGACCAGCTATAAATGTCAGACATTTGTAGTCTCATCAAGACATCTAGTTGTTTTTCTCCAACAGGACACAGCACAGAAGTAGGTATCTCTTAGGTTCAACAGAGACAATTTAACCAAAGGCAATGAAACTGATAGTGAAAGGATGGCTGGAGTGATGAATTATGCAGGGAAGAATATGAAAATGACAGAAGAACCTAAAAGAGGAAGCACAAACTAAGAAAAAGGGGAGAAGGGGTCTGGGACCAGAGGTGAGGTCAAGAATAAGAAGAGGAGGGAGCGAGATGTGAGACTAACAACAATCTCCCTCCCCTAAAATCCTCTCTCCAGTTCATCTACAAACCACTTTCAGACTCATCTGTTGATGGCGTGACTCTGCTCCTGTCACTGCCTTGTTTATATACTTTATAAATTCCCCACTGCTCATCAAATGCAATCTAAATACTCTGAGTGCTCAATAGTGCTGCCTGATTTGACATCAACCAACCATTTCACCACACATCCCTTCATACACTCAGTCCACTAGACCAGTGGTCGGCAAACTGCGGCTCGCGAGACACATGCGGCTCTTTGGCCCCTTGAGTGTGGCTCTTTCTAAGCCTTAGGAGTACCCTAATTAAGTTAATAACAATGTACCTACCTATATAGTTTAAGTTTAAAAAATTTGGCTCTCAAAAGAAATTTCAATCGTTGTACTGTTGATATTTGGCTCTGCTGACTAATGAGTTTGCCGACCACTGCACTAAACCACTTACCACTCTTAAAGCAGGCAAATTCAATTCATACTACTGCTTGAAAGGTCTGCTTCACCTAGAATTTGACCACTCTCCCTCCTTAGGGTTGCCAGATTTAGCAAGTAAAAATACAGAATGCCCAATTAAATCTGGGTTTCAGATAAACAATGAATAAATTTTTAATGTAAGTATCTCACACAAAAGCTGTATTTATCTGGCAATCCTACCTTCTACCCCCATCAACACTTTTCAAACTCATACTTTAACATCACACTCAAATATTACCTTTGTCATGAAGTTTTCCCTGATTCCTTCACCTAGAAAGTATATTCCTTCATTCAGTCAACAAATATTTACTATGCTAAATGCTAAGAGTGAAAACTGTGAAGGCCCAGCTGGTGTAGCTCAGTGGTTGAACATCAGACCTATGAACCAGGAGGTCACAGTTCGATTCCCAATCCCCAGTGGGGGGTGTCCAGGAGGCAGCCAATCAATGATTCTCTCTCATCATTGATGTTTCTCTCTCTCCCTCTCCCTTCCTCTCTGAAATCAATAAAAATATATTTTAAAAGAACTGTGGCCCGACCAGCGTGGCTCAGTGGTTGAGCATCGACCTGTGCACCAGGAGGTCACGGTTAGATTCCTGGTCAGGGCACATGCCCAGGTTGCAGGCTCGATCCCCAGTAGGGGGCATGCAGGAGGCAGCTGATCAATGATTCTCTCATCATTGATGTTTCTCTCTCTCCCTCTCCCTTCCTCTCTGAAATCAATAAAAATATATTTTTAAAAAACTGTGAAGAAGGAAGTCTATCTGCATAGAACTTCAACTGCAGAAGTAGAGGGAGAATAAGGAGACAGTGACAATAGAGAGGTAGCTACGATGTGTTGTGTGAGCAAACAGGAAGCACACATCTACTATTTGTATTCTGGATACTTATGAACACTTTGGGGAAAAAAAGAGGCACATTATACTAAAAATTTAGAGCAGAACAGGAACTCAAGTATTTGTTTAATGAACTATATACCTTACAAAAATTTCCCAAGATGAATACACTTGACAAAACAATTTCTTCTTTTGTAATGACTCTTGGCTTGATTACACAGATTCCACTCACCAATTTTTTTTAAAAGGAATATCTTTATATAGCAAAAAGATAATAAAGGTCCAATCAGTGGTAGTCTCGGTAGATTTTTAAAATGTTAGCATTTTTAATATGTTAATAAAGAACAACAAACTTACCACGCGTTGAGCTGCTATCAACGCGGCTAACGTGCTTCGCCCTGGGGCTCCTGGGGCGCAGAAGGAAACTTGCACTTTGCTCCCCTGGATGGTCATGCCGTCGGCGGCTTGCTGAACCTCCTCAGCATGCTCCGCAGTGCTATATTCAACCACTGCAAAGCCACCAACGTAGCTACCTTCATCCTGTGCAAGCTGAGGCAACACACTTTATTAAAAGGGAAGTCTATCATTTAGTCAGAAATCGTTCTTTACAGTATATAACTTTCAAATTTAAGAACAAATGTATCAGAGCATGATACTGGAGAGAAAGTGTGTTCTTTCAAAAAAATTACTAGTTGATTAGAATGCAGTACTTCTGGAGAACAGGATAATAAACAAGATTCTGTCATTTCTTTTGAATTTTTGATTTTCTAATTTATTTTACTTTTCAAAGCCCAAATGATAATATTCCCTATATATTAAGAAATGTTTACAACTGATAATTATAAGAAAATGAGGACACAATAATATAAACCTCCTTTAAATAAATTCACCAGATACATAAATAATGAAACATACTAAAACAATTACTGAATTACATGTCTATGTAAAATAAAGTTTGTACCATCAAGAGAAGAAAAGTAGGAGGAACCACATTCAACTTTTATTTCAATATTTTAGGCAAATCCCAGAAATTTGGTCAAGTATACCAAAACAAACCTTATTTGCAAAAACTATGCCCTAGATTTACTAAAATACCATATGCAACATATAATCTTTACTTCTGAATGGGCCCTAAATAAGACTCCTAAAATGCAGAACTTAATTTGTTTCCAGTCACCCACCTGTAAGAGTGTAAAGGAAGATACTAAAGTCCTGGATCTGTAAAGACTGGTACAAAGAGCAAAAATAAGAGCAAAATACGATACTAAAAAGTTTCTAAGTTTTAACGTTTCTGAATTATCTTCAACACATTCACATGAGAAAGTAATCAACGAGATAAAATTCAGCGGGGTGTGTCTTTGAGAAGACACATGAACCACACTTCTATGCGGATTTGGCACCTCATAAGTTAATATTACAATTAAATAATTTCTAGATTCTTTTCTCTTATTTTTGAAGCTTAACTTCTACTTTCTTGCATAGTACACAAAATTTTTATTTTTCCTTCATATTCTCCCTTCCTTTTTAATTTTTCCCATTGATTTTTAGAGAGAGTAGAAGGGAGGTGGGGGTGGGGGGAGAAGGGCAGGAGAGAGAGAGAGAGAGGAGAGAGAGAGAGAGAGAGAGAGAGATGTGAGAGAGATACAATGATTGGTTGACTCCTGAACATACCAAGACCAGGGCCAGGATCATTGCTGCAACCCAGGTATGTGCCCTTGACTGGAAATCAAACCCACAACCCATCGGTGCTCAGGCCAACACTAACAACTGAGCAAGCAATACTGGCCAGGGCTCTTCCTTCCTTTTAAAATTGTCCGCTTATGTTTTCTTCACTGTAAAAATGTTTCCTGGTCACATGGGAGAAAGGGAAAAGGTCTACCTACCTCTTCCAAACATTTCTCCTACAACCCCATTCCTCTTACAATCCAAACCAGATCTCAAAATCAGATCTGTAGAAGCCATTAGTCTCTTTGGTCTCTTTTGATTACCAGGTAAGAGACTGTGTCTTCAATATAGTCCGTGTCAACCTACCACACAAAAAAGCTCGAATTTAACAGCTCCACTGATAAAAGCCTCATAAAGTTGTTTTTATTAATCTCTTGAAAACTTTAAAAACACTTTGGACTATTCCTGGTTTATTATGATAACCGTCATGCCTACATAAGTTATACCATTTTAAATCTTCCCAAAGACAAAAATCACCCAAGTCTATGGCATAGGTAGTTTTAGAGGAGAGTATTTCAGTTCAATATGAGAGCCACTCAAATATACAAATGGTCTGACTTGTGATCTAGTTAATTTTCCATTATCTTGAAATCTTTTAACAGAAGCTAAGTGGTCATACACAAATATTATAATAAATGTTTTTCTACCAGATGGCAAGCTAGATTAGATAACCTCTCAGGTCCCTTTGACTCTGGGATTCATAATTCAAATGCATTTTGTGATAAATGGCTTTTCCCCTCCTCATTTGTATCAAAGGCCTCAACTTAAGCTACAAAGAATTATGTATGGCCACAGGATATTACTATACAATTCTTAGCATCAAGATTAGCAAATCGATAAGACAACTTTCAATAACTGGACAGAGATTTAATAAAAAATTTGTCACAAAAATTTATAAAGCTCTTGGGATGCTTTCTTTGATGTTTATTATATTGGGATTAGGGGATTGGAAATATATATACATATGTATTATGTATATATGTATTTATGCATATATATGATTATACAATAACAGACTCTAAACTTCCTACTGCAATTGTAGAGACTCAACAAATATATGATTAAAGAAAAAGGGGGGGATAAAGAAAGAAGGGAAGAGAAAAGTTCATCAGCTGCTATCTTACATGTGTAAGGAAGGAAGTTATATATAGCATGCATTGTCTATTTAGTCTAACATATTTAATTTTATAATGATAAAGAGCTTGAAAATTTTACCAGTAGTTGTCAATCTTCAGGATCTTCTCTAAATGGCTCACTTACCATGACCCCATTAAGACAAAATTGTATGTTCTCTTTAAACCTCATTATACTTTTCTATCTTCCATTATATCACGTTTCATACAGAATTTACAATGATTAGATTACTTGTCAGTCTCTTCTACAAAATTGTGAGGTATTAAGAGAGTATCTTTCTATTATCTATATTTCTGACATTTAGCAATATACTGTCTGGCATAGAGAAGATGATAAATAACATTTGGATGTAGGAATGGATCAATGGATGAATGGTGTAATGAATGGATGAAATGAGGTGAATGAGTGATGGATTTGCTAATACCTACTTAACTATATAACAATATAGTTGGTCCATCAACAAAAGGAATTGATTTAAAATTTACCATGACATTAAAATCTTCATTACAGACTAAAGTAGAATTAGATTATCCATTGTGATATTCACATAGGTATAATAAATTTGTGAGTGCATGCGGAATAGATACAAAGCAGATATCTAAAAATATTTCTAATGATATCTTAAGAATACATACCTGGCAAAACACAGGTTTATGGATACTGGAAAAAAATTGCAACAGCTCCTCGGAATCTCTGTAGTCAGTAGGGAGTTTATCTATACAAAGGCACTTAGAATGAATGAGCTCTGCGGCCAATAGATTAACATCCATCCATTGTGCAAAGAGAGCTGATGCTCCCAACTGTTTGCCCAATAGCTCCAATCTAGCCTTTGCAGCAAAGTCCTTTTTCATGTATTCCACAAATCCATAGCCTTTGGAGTGGCCAGTGACTTCACTGTAGACCAGAAAACATCTCTCAATGTTTCCATATGCACGAACAAGTTCTTCAAACTCTTCTAATGTAAAAGAAGTGGGCAAGTTGGTAATACACAGCAAAGCATCTGTTGGCTGTAGCTGTACTATTAAGTCTTTTCCTCGAAAAGAATATTGATGAAACATCTGAATTGCATTCTGGGCTTGTTCCCCATTCAATAAAGTAACAAATGCTGGAAGATAAAATAAATGAGTTTTCTAAGCCTGTGTTTTCAAACTTTTGTGACTATGACTCACAATAAGAAATACATGTTATATCTGTGACTCAGTACACACATACATATATATGTCTGAAACAAAAGTATCAGGAAGTAATACTATTACCATATGCAAAGCACTCAAATATTTTCTGTTTCATTGTATTCTTTAACACTGACACCCCCACTAAACTAATACCATGACCAGAAACACAAGTTAAAAATATGCACCCTCCCGCCCCAAACCTCTTTCAGAGACTTCAATCACTCTACTATTAAGGACTTTTGAAGTTGTCCAACAGCTCGCTGGTACTTGGTTCATGTTTTATAGCCTTCTTCTGGCTCTCTTTTTCATTTTAGAGAGTTCTTATCTCTATGTATTCAGGTTCAGTAATCTTCTGCAACAACTATTCTGCTGTTAATCCCATCTACTGTATTTTTTTTCTAATCTCCAACATTGTAGTTTTCATCTCTAGGAATCTGACTTGGTATTTTTCAATATCTTCCATATCTCCACTAAACATATTCAATATTTACTGTAATTTCTTGTACACATGGAAGATTGTTATAAAAACTGTTCTCCATTTTCATTAATTATTTTGTTTAAATTCTAAGTCATTTTGATTGATTTTTCTCCTTATTATGGGTTGTATTTTCCTGCTCCTTTGCTATGTTTGGTAACTTTTTATTTCATGCCAGGCACTATAAATGTTACCTAGTTGGGTGCTGGATGTTTTTGTCTTTCTATATATATTCTTAAGTTTTGTTCTAGGATGTGGTTGAGTTACTAGGAAACAGTTTGATCCTTTCTGGTCTCACTTTTAAATTTTGTTAGGTAAAACCAGAGTTGATTTTCTTGATTCTTGAGATAAGACCCTTCTGAATACTCCTCCTGATGCACCATGAATCGTGAGGTTTGTCAGCCTAGCTGATGGGAATAGCACTATTCCCGGCCCTGTGTGAGCTGTGAAGATTGTTACCACTAATCCCTTTGTCAATATTTAGTAACACTGAAATTGTACATAACATATGACCCAGTAATTTACTTGTGGAGAAATAGTTACAATGTATATTAGAAGACAAAAATAAGGATATTCATTGCAGCATATTTGAAATACTGGAAAGTTAAAGCTTCTAAATGCCTACCAGTAATGAATAGCTTTATCAATGGTGATAAATTCACAAGATAGAATAATATACAGTAGTTTAAATGAATGAACTAGAGCTATATATATCAACATGGAAAGATCTGAAACTAAGGTTGAGTTAAAAAAAAAAAAGCAAGTAACTAAATGAAACATGTATAATACCATTTATGTAAAGTTTTTAAAAACACCGAGAACAACACTATTAATTATACATATAATAAAATTACAGGTATTAGTCGTGGTATAATGGTGACAAATAGCTCCACAATCTCAATGGCTTAACAAAATAGAAGGGATTTTATTGTTGATGCTGCATATCCCATCTTGCACATTCTCTAAAAATCAATGGAAACCTATCCTCAGGTGAGGGGGAAGGAAGGAAGGAAAGAAGGAAGGAAGGAAGGAAGGAAGGAAGGAAGGAAGGAAGGAAGGAAGGAAGGTAGGTTGGTTTGCTCCTCACAGTCACCCTGGGAGCTAAGCTGGAAGAAGTGCTGCAATCTTCCTCAACCTCTTACAGGGAGAGGGTGAGCAGTGAACCACAGGCTGGCTCTAACACCTTCCACCTACAAGGGATACGGTCATTTCCATTCGCACTTCATTCACCAAAGAGCAAATCACATGTCCACTTCTAACCTCAAAGAGGGACAGAGAACTACCTCACCTCACGCCCAGAAGAAAAAGGGTAAGAATCTGTGAACAGCTCTAATGACTGCCACGATATAACAGCAAGTGTAGAAAGTAGGTACCAAATTCATAAATGCTTCTCCCCCAGGGAAGAAGGGAGGGAAGACAAGTAGACACTGGATTTCATTTTTATCTATAATGTTTCTATTTTCAAATTTTTAAAGTCAGAAAAAAAATGCAGAATTCTGACCATACTACCAGAGATCTTTAATAGATCTAC